CCCCGAGGAGGAGGATCACCGGGGTCCTCGCAGTGAGAGGGGAGGGAGCGAGGTGGCAGAGAAGAAGGCAGGGCACCTCAGGTACCACCGCGTCCCAAGAGACAAGTTCGAGATCACCAAGGGCGCAGGAGGCCTGGGAGCCAGGCAGCCTGGGTGGTGACTGGCCCAAGTGTAGGAGGCCCAGGTAGCACAGCCCTTGGAGCCCACGGTGGGGGTGAGGGCGGCAGAAGCTACCTGCTGAGGTGAAGGGGTGGGTTTGCCTTCAGGTGTCCCGTTGGCCTGTCTCCCTGCCTGCCCCAACCAGGCCCCAAGCCGCATAGGGGCTCCACAAGGAAAGGGGGCCCCGAGACAGGACGCTGCCAAGGGCCAGCTTACTGCTTCCATTACCCAGGGGAGCTTTCTATTGACCCACGAGTTCTCGGGGACAGGGAGTGGCCAGCAAGGGTCAGGAACCTTCCACTCTAGACTCTGGCGGTGGGATTGGGGGCACCCGGGTCCTTAAGCGTGTCTGGCCGGCAGCTCTCCCCCAGACGCAGGGTCCCTGGGGACCAGTCTAGGCACTGACCCTCCGTTGACTTTGTCCTGGCACCTGGCGCGCTTGGGCAGCCTCTGTAAACCCAGGGAGCAGGTGCATGGGCCCGGGGACAGCCACTCACCTTGGGCCCAGCTCTGCTCACTGCTATACATGGTCCTCGGGCGAGTCTGCACCCCTGAGACCAGTGGCAGCTCCCCAGTGATGTGGCTTCCTTCTGCCTTAGTTCTCTCCACCTGGAAATGGGCATGGTGCCACACTCAGGAGGGTCCAGTGCATAGCCACCGGGCGCTGGCCCACACAGGCCTCAAGGTACAAGCCAGGCAGCCTGCGTGGTTGTGTGTGCCTCTGGTGTGCTGGGAGATGGCGGCTGTGGCATATTTGAAGGGCTTTTAATGCCTGGAGGTCTGGCCGGGGTTTCTCCCCTGCGGCCTGTTCCTTACCCCACCTCCCTGCCCTGCCTCGGGTGGCCCAGACTTGTTCCGCAGCAGTGCCTTGGCGCAGGTGGGGAGCGGGCACCCGCAACCCATGTGGCTCGCACTCAGTTGGCTCCAGTTCTGCCAGCAGATCCAGCGGGAGATCAGGACGCCTGTCCTGAGTCAGGGCCCAGGCTCCTTGGGATGCGCCCCTGCTCAGTGCCACATGCACACAGGGAGAGGCGGTTGGGCCTGCCTGGCGCCTGCCTGCTCGGCCTTCAGCAGCAGCAGAGCAGGGAAAGATGATACAGCGGCTCTGAGGGCCCTCTTCACTGGCACCTGGGCTGCAGGGCAGGTCAGGGCTGCAGCTTGCAGAGGGGAACCCACACCACTGTGGCAGGGCGCACGCACCTGTGTGGGCCTCAGGGCCAGTGTGCAAACGTTGTGCACACCAGCTTTTTACCAGGCCTGGGCCCCTCCCACCCCACACACCCCACAAGAAATTAGGAACATGGCAACAAACTCCAGTTGTCGCAGACCCACGAACCGCCACCAGTCACGCGTCCCCGGCATGGCGGAGGGGGTGGTGTGCGCGTGGGGGAGTAATTGGTGAACCTGAGGTGAATGAAATAATTGGAAAAGTGAGGTGTGAGTTTGTTACCGAAGTGCGAGCGCGGAGGAGGGCTGGGGGAGGGAGGCCGTGTTTAAAGGCCCGGCCTGTCCTCTTCATTCACAGCTTCGGATACAGTAATTGCTATTTTGTGGTTTCTATTATCTTCACAGTGGGGAGCAGGCTGGCTGGGGAGGAGGCCGGGGGCCCTGCCAGGTCCCTCCCCCTGGGACCTGGCCCTGCCCAGCCTGTCCCCAGTGGTGGCCTTGGCCCTGGGAGGCAGGTTCCTTCCTTCTAAAGCTCCTTCCGAGGGCTTGGGACCTGGCGTCAGGCCAGAGCCTCAGAATGGCCTGTGTTCGCGTCCCACTTCTCTCCCCAGAGCTAAAGGTGCCTCATCGATTTTTCTCCCTGACCTTTCTTCTCTCTTTTTAATTCTCTTTCGATGTCTCTGTGATCATTAGCATTGGCGTTAGGATATCCCACATGGTCACACGAGTGCCCAGGGCCATTTGCTGTCCCTGCGTTGTTCCAGGACAGGAGTGGTCCTGGGCCTCAGGTCCCAGGTCCTGAGGACTTGGCCAACAGCCTTCTCTCTGGCCCTTGGTTTTTTTTGTAAACCAATAGGTGATGTCACTGTTGTCCCCAGTTGCCCTTACCCCTGAAGATGGTATATTTCAAAGACCAGCCCTGGCAGGCACTCCTTGATGGCTGGCACCGTGGCAGCAATGATGGCATGCTGAAGCCTCAGTACATTTGGTGCTGAAGCCAGACATTTCCGGAATTGTCTGCAGATTTCAAAAAGTTCCTTCTAAGATCTAACTCCAATCCTCCAGCTCTACCTTAGCCCGCTCCCTCTCGTCCTGTTAGTAGAAGAAAGAACCTGCTCACCAGAGCCACTTCCCTGAAGCTGTCAGGGTTTTCAGACACAGCTTCCATTGGCCTGCAGAGGTCCGTCTGGAAGCCCCAGGCCAGGGCTCCCTGAGGCCCCCAGCTGAGTTCTGTGGTGGACCCAGACTATCCCTCTGTCACAGTTCCCCCTGCCGAGCTCTGCAGCACCTCTTCCACTGGCCACAGAAGCCTAGCCAGCCTGTTCTCACCAGCTCTCACCCTCTCCAGACCCCTGGCTGCTTGCCATGCAGGAGGCGTCCAGCTGCCACTGGGCTGCAGGCGGGTGGTGAGCGCCGCAGGCTCCCTCCTCCGCCCTCCCTTCTCCTTCTCTCCCTCTCCCTTCGTCTCTCCCTCCATCTCTCTCTCTCCCACCTCTCCCTCTCTCTTTCCCTCTCCCTTCCCCCATTGCTCCCTCTTTCTTTCTCCCCTCTCCCCCTCCCTCTCTCTGTCCCCCCTCTCTCTGTCCCCCTCCCTTCCCCTGTCTCTCTCCCTCCTTCCTTCCTCTCTCTCTCTCTCTCTCTCTCTCGCACACTCACAGGCTGGCTCATCAGAAACGAGGGCTGAGAGACCTGGGCAGAGGTTGAGGCCGCACAGGGCAGAAGGCTATGGGCCCCGCGGGCACAAGTCGGGGTTGGCACCGGAGGGCAGAAGGCTCAGGCTGTCCCCCCTCTTGCCCCCTGGTGTTGGGCAATCACTGAACTGTGGGGGGCTTTCCTGGCCCCCTCGTGGGCCTCCTGCTCATGTCAACCTGGCCAGGTTGGCTCCTGACAGTGGCTGGCAGGGTGGCCACACTGTTTGGCCCAGAGTCCAGGCCTGGACGCTCGTTCTCCAGCTCTGCCACCCTGGGGACAGGCTGCTGATGAGCATGTCTGCATGTGCCCCTCGTCCCCTGCCTGGGAGGGGAGGCTGCTGTCTCCTGTTGGCTGGCTCAGGTTGTCTCCAGGTGTCCCTGCGGAGCTTGCTGCAGATGCTGTGGTTCCCACTGCGCAGGGCTGACCTCCAGCCCCGGGGAGGCCGAAGACAGACAGGCGTCCACCCCACAGCGAGCCCTGGCCTTGCAGGTGGCTTCCATTCATGGGGACATCAGAAAGGGCTGCTGTGAGCTAATGGGGACTATGGCTGGGTCGAGGGACCGGGCCCTCCAGTGCTGGACCCGCAGGCTTGCCCACAGACCCCAGTCCTTGTGGCCACCACACACATCATCCCTGGGGTCCCTGTGCCTCTCTGAAGAACTGGAGCCAGAAGGTCAGGTATCTGAAGGGGCCCAGCAGAGAGCTCCTCACCAGCCCCATGCGAGGCGGGGACCTGAGAGGCCGCCTGGCTGTCATGGGACACGTTGGCCTTTAGGTGGCAGGATAAAGCAGGTTTTGGGGACTGCACTGCTTGTTCTCCAGACTCACCTTCTTGTCCCACCTGCCTGGCCTGTGTCCCCAGCCCGCGCCCCCCCCCCCCCCCAGAGGGACAGGAACCTCCTCACAGCGGGAAGATGGACAGACTTCATTCTGGCTCCTCCTGTCCCCGCGAAGCTGGCCTCGTGGCCAGTGCCATTCCTCGTCTGCACAGAGGAGGTGCCAGGAGGGGCCGGGCTCCGGGGAGCTGCGAGGAGACGTGCGGATTCATTTTGAGGCCTCATAAGGCGGCTTCTGCACGCTGTCCTGCCGGCAGAAATCGGGCTGGCAGATGCCTGGTCATGCCGGCGGCCGCGGGTTAACACCTCGGATTCAGCTTATGTCGTTTGAGGAGGGCTGACGGCCTTCCCTGTGTTTGTCCCTGGTCGGTCTTTGGCCCTGAAGCATCCTGGACCGTCGGGGGCATGTGGGAGCCGGGGGCTGCGGGTGTGTGTAGATTTTCAAATGCGCCAGCCCTCTCTGCAGAGCCGCACGTTAAATATTTATCGGCAGCAATTTGTGCGTCTGCAGTTGATAAACGGACACTAGGAGGGGGCTGGGGGTGGGCAGGCGAGGAGAGGGCCAGGGAGGCCCCGAGGAAGCTTGGGCCTTTTGTCCTGCGTCTCTGGGGGGAGCAGGCCACAGGGTTGGCGTGTCACCTGTGTGATCCCTGCGACAGGAGGGCCGTGTTCTCGGCAGAGCGCTGCCTGGCTTTGGCTCACAGATATCAAAGGACAGCTCAGGGGAGGGGACGTGGTGTGGAGGAAGGAGCTTTGTGTCGATCCAGCGCAAGCTCTGAAGGCACCTCCTAGGTGCCAGTCCTGGCAGCTACCGCTCCTGCTCACCTGCTCAGCCTGGGGCTCCCGTGCAGCCAGCTGGACCTGGACGTGGACCAGGCCCCACGCCCAGAACCCGGGGCCTCTCTGGCCTGGCTACCCGGGCACAAGCCTGGGTCCCCCCCGGGACTGGCTTCCCCGTCAGGAAGGGGAGGACACGGCGCCCCAGCCGGCAGCTTCTTGGAGTGGAGCTGAAAATGACCTCCCCTTGTGAGCCACCCTGGGCCTGATGGGTGTGCCGCGTTTGCCTGGGTGCACGTGTGACCGTCCTCCGGCTGCCCCACCCTCTGCAGGCCCCTGAGCTCAGACCCCATCTGCTTCTGTCCACAGCACCTTCGGAGAGCTGAAGACGGTCCGCTTGCCCAAGAAGATGACCGGGACAGGCACGCACAGGGGCTTCGGCTTTGTGGACTTCCTTACAAAGCAGGATGCCAAGGTGAGAACCTGGGGAAGGCTCGAGGCCTCTTCAGTGCAGCGCATGCCACTCCCGAGCTTGTGTCCCTTTTCCTGACCGTGCTAATTCATGCTGCACTTCAGGAGGGAACGCTCTGGGTTTACGTCCGTGACATGGGACAGGGCTGCTCCCTTGCACCCATACAGGAGCCTAGGCTGCGGGTTTCCCAGGCCTCTGCACACCAGAGAGGGCTCTGCCGTCCAGCTCTCCCCAAGGCGGGCAATGTGCTGTGTGGAAAGGCGCTCAGAGAGGAGAGCAGAAGGTGCCAGGGGCGGCCCGTGGGGACACCTCTCCCCGTCACCTTCGCACCCCAGCCAGGCTGTGGCTGGTGCTGGTTGTACGTGGGAGGCAGCCCCGGTGGCCCCACATGCACACTGTGCGCGTCCCTGTGGCCGTCCCGCCAGGCTTGGTTGGCTGGTCAGAGGTTTGTGGTGCTGAGGACTCGACCCAGGGCCTCGCAAGGGCCAGCAGGGCTCTGCCACTGAGCCCAGCCCTGGCCTTTTGAAGTGGGGTCTCTGCTCCGAATTTGGGTACAACAAGTTGGCCCTGCTGTGGGTGCCGGGTTCTCACCTGCCACCAGCAGGCGTCCCCGCTGTGTCCTTGGTCACTGCACCCTCAGCCCCGAGCTCCAGAAGAAAGGTTCCTGCAGGGCCATGGCCGTGGACTTCCCTCTGGGAGCTCTGGCCTCAGCCCCCTCGAGGTGAAGGGAAGCCACAGGGAGGCCATGCTGGTGGCCCTGTGCCCTCTGCCCTGGCGGGGAGTCCTTCAGGAAAGCAGGAGCTTCTTGAATGCACCACGGTGTCACGAGGGTCCCAGTGAGGGGTCAGCTGGCACGGAGCCCAAGGTGCAGCTCCGGATCACCGCACAGCCCCTGTAGGCCCTGGGAATACCCCGGAGGGTCCTGCCAGCCTTTGTCCCCACGCCTTGCACCAGGTGCCTGGGCTGTGGCCACGCTCGTCTGGACGCCTGCTCCTCCCTCCTGGGCTGGCAGCCTTTCCGTGCCTCCCGTCAGGGTCTGAGGTACAGCCCTTTGGGCAGCAGGCCCGGGGCAGCAGGCCCAGGGCAGCACGGGAGGCGGCAGAGGGCAGTTATACGGCCCGGCGGGCTCACGGATGGCCGCGCCAACCCTGCCTGGGGGCCGTGGGTGGGTTTCCTCTGTGGAGCCCAGCTCTGGGCATAGGTGTGGCTCCACCGGCTGCTCGTACCGGGCAAGTGGGCCTGGGAAACACCCCAGCAGGCTGTGGCCAGCACGGGAGGTTGGCACACAAACCACGAGGCCAGACTGCCAGTCAGCATCCCAGTGCTGCATCGCCCGCCATGTGAACGTGGGCCAGCGGCCCGCTTTGCGCCTCCTTCCCCTGTGGCGTGGTGGCAGTTCCTTGCAGAGTGGCCTGGGGCCTGGGTGCCGGGTGTTCCGGGAACAGGCCAGCCCGGCCTCCTGTTGGCCGTGAGGGTGACGCAGGGGTGGCCACAATGGAGTGACCCAGGGAAAGGGCAGGGAGCAAGACGCCCCCTTCTAGCCTGAGCTTGGGTCACCGTGACACGGCACTCGGGTCTGGAGGTGGCGGCTGCTCCCCACTATCCCTTCCCTGCCTCCATTTCTGGCTCCTGGAAGAAGGAGGGAGGCCCCCCGGCCCTCGGGGGTGGCTCATCCCACCCTCTCCTCCGCCGGGCAGCTGCTTCTGACCCCCATGGACCTGTAGCCCTTCCCTCCCTGCGCCGGCACAGGCCCTCACCGTCCCCACACCTAGTGAACCACTTCCAGAAAGTTCCAGCCATAGCTCTTAAGAGACAGCCGCTCTGTCTGCCTCGCGGGGACAGCCGCCTCGCTCCTCCGTCCTCGTGCTCTGGATGCTCCGAACACCAGGCCAGCTCACAGGCATGGGCCTGAGGAAGGGGAGTGGCTCTGAGCCCTCGGAGCCAGGTACCCTGTCACCTCCCGAGAGCAGCCTCCTGGCCCCGCCCCGGCCACACTGCCTGAGCTGCCCTCCCAGCAGAAGCCCTGGGGCCAGTCCTGCTGCAGAATCCGCGGCTCGGGTGCCCTTCGTGAGGGGCAGCAGGTGGTCACTGGGCATCTGCCACTTCTTATGTCAAGAGGCTGGTCCCAAGTGATCCTCGGACAGGGGGAGAGGATCAGAGAAGAGGGAAGGGAAGGGCAAGCCAGGCCTTTCTTTCTTCCTCCATGACAGGCTGGGGGGACAAGGGCTTCTAAGAGGAATCCCAGTGGCCGTTAGTGACCATTCAGCCAATGGGGACCTGGATGGGAGCCCCAGTACAAGTGGGCACGTGGGCTGGAGCCGAGGCCATGGAGCTCTCAGGCTTGTCGGGGACCAGGGGTCAACTCCCCAGCAGCTGCCTGTCCACTCACCTGCCTCAGGCAAGTCCCACGGCGTCCCTTCCCCTCCACATCAGTCTCCACAGTGGCCCTGAGCAGGTGCTACCTTTGTCATCCTTAAACAAGGAAAGGACTCTGAGTCCTCTGTCCCTTCTCCAGAGACCCAGTCCCACTTCACACACGAGGGGACAGATCTGTTGGCCCCTCCCCCATCAGGCACGCCCCAGACTGGACAGAACCCTGGGGAGGGGCCCCCTGAAGGCTGCAGGGGCTGAGCTCAGAGCACCCAGGCAGCTGGGAAAGACAGGGACAGACAGGCACCTGTGGGTGCCACCTCGGCACGAGACGTGGCCCCTCACACAGGGCGCCTGGGACCCCAGGGGCGTCTCTCAGCAGCTTCCTCCTCCCCCGGGTCCTGCCCCGACTCCTGGGAGTGCGAGCCAAGCTCAGCCGCCCCGTGGAGCCTGGGGGCCGATGGGCAGCCCAGCCCCAGCCCGCTGCTTAATGCCCTGCCACGGGCAGGCCCGGGCCATCCGCCCCTGTCACAGGCTTGGTGACCGGAGCCCTTTCCGCAGGAAGCGGATGGCGAGCTGGCAGATCCTCCCAGCCCAGGACATCTTAGGAGCCCTGATGTCCCCAGCAGTGAATGCCAGTCCCCCGACAACGCTGGTGTCAGCTATACCTCCAGGTGTGAAGACCCAGAATTTTTAAAGATCCTCCCCACGTCATGCCAGGGAGCAGGACACAGGGGCCGAGGGGGCATCGCAGGATGCCCAGGACCCACCCGGACCTGAATGCAGGGGCCTCCCCAGGTCCTGGGCCACTGCTGCCCCCAGGCACGGGGAGGTCTCTGATGGAAAACACTGGCGGGCTTCCAGAGTCCTGCATTCAGTAGGACAGCACTGGATACCATAAGCATCCTGTTTTGATCCTGGCAGGACTCAGGACGGGGCAGGAGGCCTCTGCGCCTAGAGACACGGAGGCCCCGAGGCCTGCGTCCTGCTCACAGGCCCACAGCCAGGGCTCGCCAGCTGGGCACAGTAGTCCCTCCCGCCTCATCTGTGGGGTCCCCTAACCCAGTGCCATCTCTGTGCCACCTCTTAGGGACACCTTGACAGAGGCCAGAGGCTGTCCCTGGGAGCATCTCTAAGAACAGCCTCTTCAGTCCCCAGAGAAGGGGTGGCATTCCTCATGCCTCCCTGCAGAGGCTCAGCCTCCCTGCCTCCCCCTGGCCAAGCCTGAGGCCAGCCCAGGAACCAACACACATGTACTAGGGCTCCCAGCCAGGTCCCCATTGGCTGAGTGGCCACCAATGGCCACTGGGATTCCTCTTAGAAGCCCCCGTCCTCCAAGCGGTCATGGAGGAAGGAAGAAAGGGCCACGGGGAGGGAGGCCTGGGGAAGAGCTGCTCGAGGTTCCTCCTCCTCCCCGGCCGTGCCTTTGTACTTCTGCGGCTGCAGCTGTTTTTATTTGCCGCCGCTGCTGTTGTTTTAAAAGGTCTATTTTCACATGGAATGTTATCCAATTAGCAGAGCAATGTGTCGGCTTAAATAAACACGCGGGGGAGCCGAGCGCCATGGCGGTGGGCGCTGGCAGCCGCCTCCTCTCGCTGTGGAAGACGGTGCGGCCAACTGTGGGGTCCTCCAGCTGGCGGCTCCCGCGCTCTCACAAGCCCCCCCCCCCCGAGCCAGGGGTGGGCACCTAGGGAGCCACAGGGCGCAGGCCCCACGCCTGCCTCCGTCCGAGGGAGCTTGGAGCAGGCTTCTCCCAGCCCTGGTCACCTTAGAGTCCACTGTGGGAGGGAGATGGTTTGGGAGCCACAGGCTGGGGACAGGCCTGTGGGTATCTGTCTCAGAAGCGCACTCCGCCACATGGTGTCATTTCTCAGAAGGGCCCATAGTCACTCTTTGTTGTGCACAGACCCCACAAACCGGGAGATATTTCTCCCTCCACGCAGACCAGGAGCGGTTGGCAGGGGTTGCAGGGTTGCTGAGAGGTGGCTCTCAGGACCTGGCGTGTGGGACACAGGGAATGGGTCTGTCCCAGAGCACCCACCGTACCCACTGTGGGGGGCGACATCACAATGTCCCCCAGAAGTCGGTGGCCCTGGGCTGATCCTTAGCCAGCTCAGGGGCAGGTCACTGCTGGCTGGGGGCATGTTGGCGTGGTCTGTGTTCCCTCGGGCTCTTCCAGGACAGCTCCCCAGGGAGCTGGAGGGGCCTGGAGGGCACCCTGGGCATCAGGACAGGATCCATGCCCGGCTCTGCCCAGGAGCCAGGCAGCCCTCGCAGCCACGTGGGACTGAAGTCCTGCCAAGGGCGTGCAGTGGGCTTTTGTTGCTGGGAGGAGGAGAGTGTCCCCAGGGAGGCTGTGGAAAGGTCAGACCCGCGGCGCTGGCAGCTTCCAGGGCCTCCTGCTCTTCAAGATGGCCGTAGTCCACCTGCACCGTCACCCCACACCACTGACGTCGTGGGGTTCAGACAAGGTGGTGGGAGACTTGGTTCCCCAGACCTGTGGGCCGTGCCCCACTCAGAGGAGAGCCAAGGCCAGGATTTCTGGGCAGCTGTGGTCAGTGTGCCCAGGGGCTGCCGTTTTCCCAGGGCTCAAGTTGCTGTCTGGAGAGGAGCCCCACCCGCCCTCCAGGAGCTCAGGCGCCCAGGGAGTCAAGGTCCAGGGTCAAGGTCAGAGCACGCAAGCACGCACATGGCTGCAGTTCAAAGGCAGACAGGTGTGTGGGCCCAATAGGGCTGAGGGACTCACCAGGGACCAGTGACAGTAGAGAACTGTCACCTCACTTAGGCAAAGGACGCTTGGAGGAAAGGTGAGGGCCGAGAGGGAAGGAGTGCCCACCTCGTCCCACCTCTGAGCTGGGCCCCCATCACTTCACCTGAGCAGAAACCCGCGTGTATGAGCCCTGCCATGGTGCCCAGGAGTCACCTCCTACGGGGGTGGGGGGGGTAGTTGGGAATGGCCAGCATCCGCTGTCAGAAAACCACAGGAAGGGGCTCCCAGGGACAGGGTGGCCCCCCCGTGGCCTTCTCTTTGCCGATGACTACAGACTCAGAGCTCCATCCTGGACCTTAGTCTTGCCCAGCAAGCCAGCGGGGGCTCGGTCTCTCGATCCTGCAGCATGGGTCACAGTCCCCGACCACAGTCGCGCATGTTGGGTGCAGTGCCAGACCAGGGCTATGTGTCCAGTCAGGGTCCCAGACTCGCTCCCCAGTCCTGACGTGCTCCTGGCCTGTCCCGTCTTGGCGGGCTGAGGGGCGAGGCTGCAAGGGAGCCGGCAAGAGACCCTCAGTGAGGAGAAGCCACGGTCTCTCTGGGTATTTATTTTCTGCGCACAGTGCACCACTGAGGTGGCAGGGACACAGCGCCTTCCCTGCAGGGGTCAAGGCCAGGCCCGGGAGCAGCTGCCGGGAGGAGGCCAGGTGTGCTGGGCGCTGGGCGGGCGTCTGCTGCAGCCCGTGGGAGAAGGGCGGGGCCTTCCAGGGCTTGAGCCAGGGGTGGGACGTGGAGCCACCGAAACCCAAGGAAGGAGGAAGCCGGCCTGTGTGGGCCCTGCGTGGGCCCGGCCCCTTCATCCCTCCCTTCGCTGCGACAGAAGGACAGAGTCCTCTCTGAGCTGGGGGCCGAATGCTCGCAGTTCCTCGAAGCCAAGAGATCGTGACACTAGGAGAGCGTCAGCCCAGGGCGGGAGGTGGCCCAAGGGGTCCTCAGTGGGGTCCTCAGTGGAGCTGAGCCGCAGGAGCCCCGAGCCCTGCAAGGGACCAAGGCTGCTGGGCACAGGCCACCCTGAGCTGACCCTAGAAAGGTGGGGACGTGGCTGTGGCCCAGTGGGCTCAGCCTAGGAGGAAGCAGCTGGCAGACCTGGCCTGTCACAGGGGACCTGCACTCCCCCGCCCTGCCTGGCACCTTCCTGTGCCTCGGTGTCCCCTGGAGCCTGGGCTGTCTTCTTCCTCCGCGCCCCCCCTCGCCCCCACAAGCTGCCACCCAACACGTTCTCATTACGCTTCTTCAATGAAGCCCAGTCACTCTGGATTATCCAAGGCCAGATTTAGCCTGGAATCAGTGTCCTCCCTGCTGCCTGCGACATTTTGAGGCCACCAGATTCCAACCACCAAGGCCGTGGGCACCCGGGAACGCAGCCTGACTTCCCATTAACCTGCGGGGATGGAACTGGAGGGTGGTTCTGCTATTTTTGGAGAGCCACATGCTGTGTGGTAACTGTCACACAGAGCTGTGTGTCAACCTACCATTGCCCCTGTTCTGTGGTGGGAGTGAAAAGTCCAACGCACAACAACAGCGGCCTGCAGCAGGACCCTCCCCATTCACTGCTGCTGCCTTTCCTTTCCACGGGCAGAAGCTGAGGCTCAGAGATGTTAAGCAGTTTGTTCACACAGTGAACAGGGATTTGAACCCAGCTAGCCAGCCACAGAGCCCATCCCAGGCTGACCGTCACCCCTCCGTGAGCCTGAAAGCCTTTCAAAGAGAGGCCATTATTAAGTGTCGGAGGAGCACAGAGGAGATGGAAAGGATCAGGGGCAACATCGGGGAGCCAGGAGATGGTTTAGGGACCCACACCAATTCTCCAGGCCCAGGAGTGAGAACTGTTTCCCAGGGTAAGGCGCGCACACGGGAGGCCACAGGAGGCAGAGGCTGGGCCGGTGGGGGCCGCCTCCCCGGCTTCCTCGCCTTCTTCCAGGTTGAGGCCGAGAATCCAGCAGATGCTGCTCTCGGCCGCCCCCACCCCCATATCCCGGACACACTCCTCAGCGACGCTGGCACCAGGATGGCACTGCCGCCATGCCAGGCTCCCCACCAGCTCCTCTCCCCCCTCCAAGCCCCGCTCCCCCACCAGGCCGTTTCTCTTCCTCGCCAGCTGAGAGCGCGTGTGTTTAGAGCTCGGAATGGGCCATTTCGGCTCCGAGTCCAGATGCATTTTTATATCCGCCTGGAAAAAGCGCAGAGGCTCTGCTGGCTGCCAGGAGGGTTTTTAAAATTAAAGTTAAAAAAAAAGGGAAGACGCGGTTCCCCACACCTGGCCCTCTTCAGAACCGTACCATCCCTCCGTTGGCCACTTGTGCTCAGGGCTATGTTCCACCCCTCCCGTCCCTCCCTCTCCCGGGTGGGCACTGGGTGTCCTGGGTGAGTTCTGCCCTCAGCCCCTTCACAGAGGTGACCAGGTGACCAGGGCGGGGCGAGGTCCGGTGGTGTCACCACTTGCTTCCTGGGACTGTGGGACGAGGTGCCTGCCCCAGGCAGCTCCAGCAACCTCAGGGCACCCTCTGTGGGCCCCAGAGGCTGTGCGTCCACAGTGGAGGTCAGCAGGGCCGGTCCTTGGAGGACCTCCAAGACAGCCACAGTGCCTGGCATCCTCGGCTTGTGGCCTCGTCACTCAGCCTGTCTCCATGCAGCGGACCCCTGGTGGCACGGCTCCTGCCAGATGAGCGCCCACCCTCCTCCACTGTCCCCTCACCCGGGCTGCCTCCTCCTAGTTAAGTCATCTGAGCCCTGGGGTGGCCCCGACACAGGTCAACTGTCCAGACTCCTCGTGGGTGAGAGCCAAGGCCTTCCCGGCTTCCAGGCATCTCGGCTCAGGGGAGCAGGAGGGACAGAACCCGCTCCTCGTCCAGTCCCAGGGCTGCTGTCCAGGACCCAGTGCAGAGCACAGGCCCCTCTCACTCTCCAACCCTGTCGGGGACACCTGGGCCTGGGCCTCTTCAAACCCAGCACCTCCCTTATCTCTGCCGAGAAAAGGGTGAGGTGACATCAGGGGCACAGAGAACTGGCCCTGGGACCACCCCTGTGAGCCCCACCCTGTCCTGGGACTGTTCACATCACCTCTTCTGTCTCCCCCGAGCTCCGCACTGGCTCACACTGACGTTCCCATCCAGAGACAGGGATTCGATCGCCCGGATCATGAAGCTGTGGCTCACGCCTGCAGTCCCAGCAGCTCTGGAGGCTGAGGCAGGAGAATCACAAGTTCACAGCCAGCCTCACAATTTAGCAAGGCCCTGAGCAACTTAATGAGACCCTGTCTCACAATAAAAAGTCAACAGGCTCAGTGGTGAAGCACCCCTAGGTTCAGTTCCCAGGACCCAAAAAGCAGAAACCCTACAGGAAGCTTTCCTGACGCAATCCCGCACGTAAAGACAGGGAACTGGGCCGAGTGTGGAGGTCCGAACAGCAAGGAGGGAGAGGAGGAGCGTGTGCCAGGCCCCCAGCTGCAGGGCCAGGGCTGGGCACAGGCAGTGGAAGGGCAGGGGACTCACAAGGAGTCAGCAGAAACCACAGGGGACTTACTGAAGAACAATGTGGAAGACAGGGCCACTGGGGCCAGCAAAGGAGAGTGGCACCAAGTGACACAGGGCTGCACAGTTGTCATGCGGGGGAAAGATGGAGCTGGGCTTCCTGTGGCTGATGGGTGGGGGGCGGGGGGCCTGCTAATGGAGCACCTTGTGCGTAGTGGGCGTAACACAGGAGTGAGGCCCTAGCCAGGCGGCCGGCCCACGCAGGCTGTGATGGTGCTCGGGCCCTCGCGGCGTACCTGTAAACAACGACTCATGGACAGACCGGCCCCAAGCCCCGCATCATCAGGCCTCAGTCTCAAGCACTGCCTTGTCTCTTGTCCCCTTTCAGAGAGCCTTCAATGCCCTGTGTCACAGCACCCACTTGTACGGCCGAAGGCTAGTCCTGGAGTGGGCAGACTCCGAGGTGACCCTGCAGGCCCTGCGGCGGAAGACGGCCGAGCACTTCCACGGTAAGAGGGCGTGGGGACTGGGCCTCAACCGGGGCTTCCTGGAAGGCAGGAGGGGCTGGGCCCCAAGAGCACCACCAAGGCCCCCCGCACCCAGTGCCGGGCAGCACCCTCCTGTCCCCGTGGCAGGAGGCTGGCCCCTGGAGGCCTCCTTTCCCTCTCGGGTGCCTTCGCTTTGGGGCCAGGTGACAGAGGACAGGTGCCAGCTCTCTTTCCCCTCCTGGTCTGTTGGACGGGTCATCTGGCAGGGAGTGCAGACCCTCTCCCATCTGCCTGGGGAGCCAGGCTCCAGGATGGGGCCAGGACAGTCCCTCCTGTGGCCGACCATGGTGCTGAGGTGCCTGCAATCTTCCTCCTTGTCCTGGGGCACGTGCCTTCCTGTGTCTCTGCCTGTCGTTCAGGCCCACCCTGGGGGGCATCTGAGGGCCAAGGGGACCTGGAGCCAGGAGCAGTTGTTTGCTGCTGGCCAGGGAAGCTGGGGCTGGAGAGCAGGGCCTCTGACAGCCCGCTGGACCCCAGAACGTCCTCGGAACCCAGCGGCAGCCGGAGGCCTCGGGTGTGGCCCACCTGCCAGGCCTACAGAGGCCGCCCTGCCCACCCTGGCTGCCCTGCTCCGCTGCTCCCCCACGCTGTTTCCCAGACCCGGGCAGGGCCTGACTGTGCCGCTCTGTCCTCTGTACCATGATGTCTTGCCCCTTGGTCCCTCTTTATCCTGGACGCCTGCCCTCCCCGTCCCTCTTGTCTCTCGCCCTGTTGTGTTGGCCTCTGTGGTTCATTGTCCTCACGGAACCCACGCCGGCCACGTGGGGCTGTTGTGCCCATCTTTGTGGGTCTCGGGTTCCCCGCTGGGGACATTTGAGCCAGGGCGAATGTGAAACCAGAGACACAGAGGCCAGCAGATAACCTCGATCTCAGTAAGTCCCCAAGTCCTGACGTGCAGAAAAGGAACACGTCCCTATCGACAGGCATTGACAGGCCCGAATGCACCCTCGGCAAATGTTTGTGTAAGGGACTGTCCCTCCCCTGCCCCCACTACTGCCCTGGTGGGAGAGAAGCCCGGTTAGTAAGCTGAGGTCCACGGATAGCCCCCTCCCCAGTGGGAGGCTCTGCCGGAAGCGCCCCTGGGATCAGCCCTGGGGGTGGCTTAGCCATAGGGGCCGGTCACAGCCCTGCCGTGAACCCTGCGGGATGCGGTCCCCGCCCTCCACGGCCTCTGAAGTGGGCGAGCTCAGCCCGTTTTGCAGATGGGAAAACTGGGGTCACCCACCCGCAAGGTGACTGTGACCCCTGGGACCTTCAGTTCCCCGCCCGACTCGGGCACTGGGGTCCCAGGCGCAGGCCACTGCCAGGCAGGGTGTGTGCTGTGTGGAGCCTGGCGACAGCCCTCCCCTCTCGGGGCCCCTGAGGCACCCGCGGCAGCTGGCCTGTCTGGACAGGGCCGCAGGCCTCTGCCCTCCCGGCAGGGCCATGTTCCCTCTGTGCCCTTTCCTGTGGGAAAAAATACCCAGCTCATTGTGTTAAAGTCACATTGTTCGGAGCCTGCAGGCTCTGGCAGGCTCTGGGCAGGCGGGATCCATGCCCAGTTCCCTCCCTGGCCCTGGCTTTGGCCTGAGGTCTGCCTCCAGGAAGGTACTCAGAGCTCAGGGGGAGGCTGCCGAGCAGAGGCTAGACAGAGGACTCCCGTGGAGGGAGCGGAAGGCAGGTGCAGCACTGACACTGGGGCCGGCGAGCAGTCCTCGGGGATAGTGGGTGGCCAGAGCAGACGAGTGGGGTCCTCACTGCAGCCCATGCGGCCAGCCTGAGGCACCCGAGTCTGCCCTGCCCTGGGCTTCCGTTTCTCAGCCCAGCCGCTGACCTGGGTGGCGTTGTGGGGACAGAAAACCTGAGGGCCCGGAGCATGCAGCCCCCCCTGACCAGCCTCACTGGTCCCCGAGGAGCCCAGGTGAAGGCCGGCACCTGATTGGCAAGCTGTGTGATGCTCGTGGTCACTGCTGGGCAACTGGCCTGTCGGGCCTGACTGTGTGCCTCCACGGGCATCAGCCCTCACGACCCTGGTGTTTCCCGTGTGAGGTGGGGAAGCCAAGGCACAGAGAGGGCAAGTCACGTTCTCAGGGCCCCCAGCAGCTGATGGCAGTCAGGATTCAAGCCTGGCTCTGAGCCACCTGCTGACTGAGCCTTGGTCGCGGGTCCTCATGCCTGTCCCCTGACCCAGCGTGCTCATCTTTGCTGTCTGTGTAAGGGCGTAGGTGGCCCTCGCCAGGGGCTTGGAGGGGAAGGTGAGGACGCTCAGCTGCGCTGCTCCCCTCATGGCCACTCCCGCTTTCCCCACCTCCCGCCCAGCCAGGCCGACTGTGGGCAGAGGGCGAGACGCGGGAGGAGTCCTGCGTCCTCGCCTGGAGGGCAGCGGGGTAGACAGCAGGGAGTGGTGCTCAGGCTGGCGCTCCACCTGGCCACCTGCGTGGAGCCAGCAGCCGAGCCTGGTGCAGAGTAGGAGCTCCGTACGCAGCAGGACTGGTCAGGTGGAGTGGCCGCTGTCCTGCCTCATCATCAGCTTGGGGGAGACCCAGAGCTCAGACCAGGCTGCCTTGGGTGACAAGGGGGGCCAGTTTCCACCCGACCCGCCCTTCCAGGGACACCCCGCCTCGCCACCGTCCCTGTCCCTCTTCCCTCCCCGACCTCTCACCCACTGGGTGAAGTGCGGCTCTTCAGACCTCAGGGGTGGGGGCGGGGGTGGGGGCAGGGAGGCAGTCAGAGGAGAGCCCGCCGCTGCTGTGTCCTTTTCTTCCCAAGTGTGTCCCAAGCCAGCAGGGTCGCGGCATCGAGAAGCTTCCAGGGCCTCCCTCTGCAGGCCGTGGTACCTGTAAGATAACATAATGGTGGGGGACACCCCAGCTGGGGAGGCAAACAGGCTTTTATTTGGCCGGGAGTGAGGCTGGGCCTCCGAGTTGTCTTACTCCAACTGGGGAGACCGATGGGCTGCGGTCAGCACTGTGCCTTTCCCCTCCGGAGCCAGGAGCGCATACATGACCCACGTGGCAAGTGGCCAGTGCCTCCCCGCCCGCCCGAGCAGGCTGGGCCAGCCAGGCTGGAGACCCAGCGCTTCCCTGGGGCACTGGGGAGGCTGTCCTGGCCAGGCCTTGGCCTCCAGCACAGAGCCAGGGAGGGGACTCCCACACCAGCCTCATCGTCCCCCAGCGTCCCAGTCTGCCCTCCCTCTGGGGTCGAGGCCCTGTCTGTGGGCCCTGTGTCCAGCACAGCTCCCATGCTGCAGGGCTGCTGGCGTGGGGTGGATGGGCACCAGGCCAGCGCGGGGCAACCAAGTCCAGCACTGGCATGTGCTGGCACCACCCAGTGATGCCCCCCTCGTGCCAGGGGCACCCAGCCCGGGCTCCCTCGGCCTCGCAGCTGGCACTGGAGCCGTTTGGGCTGAAGCCAGGTGCTCCTGCCTGTGCCTTGAAGCTGCACCGACCTGAACAGAGGTGGCCACCGGACGTTCTGTTTCCGTTCGCTCTCGTCCTGGGGATTGAACCCGGAGCTCTGTGTATCACTCGGCTGCGTCCCCAGCGCTTCCCATTGCTCTCTGGAGATGGGGTCTCTCAGCCTCTTGTCCAGGCTGGTCTCGACCTTACAGTCCTGCCTCCGCCTCCCAAGGCACTGGGATTACTGGCATGTACGTGTGACTTCTTAGTAGAGGCCTTTGTCAAGGACCTACTATGTGCAGAGAGGAACCCACAGCGGTTTTACATTCTGCATCTCAGATGTGAGCCTCACAACTCCCTAGAGAGAGGTGCTGTTCCAGTTTTACATAGGTGCAAACTGAGGCCCAGAGAGGTCTCCCGGCTTGCTTGAGGGCACACAGCTCTGGACCCAGTGGAGCAGATAACCCTTCTCAGCATGCCTTAAATTCCAAGTGCCCTGCTCTGGCAAACCCGGGCTCCCAGTCCAGTAGGGAAGCAGTTGAGAGTTTGGCTCCCCTTCCAATAAAGTTTTATTGGAAGGCAGCCCTGCACATCAGTGCTCTCAACTGCAGGGGCAGTGAGCAGTTGTGGCAGAGACCTGTTGCCCACGAAGCCTCGGGTCCTCGCTGCCTGGCCCCTCACTGGAAGTTTGCAGCCCCGAGGCTTTGTGGGCTGGCTGCCCTTGCTTTATCCAAAGGCCCCTGGTGGCCAATTCCTCCTAAAATGACCGTCCTTCCTCCGCATGTAATTCTGGAGCTTCCTACCTGCCTGCCCTGCCCTGCCCAGCCCCAGGCCCCTGGCTCTGCTTCTCACTCTACCCACCTGGTTGTCCCAGTACTTGTGGGCACAGAGCTGACCCTGGAGCAGGACAGAGAGATGTGATTACCATAGTGACCAAGTCCTGTGCGGGAGATAGAAAGGGTAAACGGCATGATTCACTCTGTTCCCTGGGGGGCTTACAGAAACCTTCCAGGGAGGCGCCATTTCTCTGATTGGAAGGGACCAGGCAGCAGAGATCTGGGGGCAAGAAGCATGCCAGGCAGAGGGAACCACAGATGCAAAGGCCCTGAGGCAGGAGCCTGTTCAGAGCAGGCCTTAGTAGCTGGAGAGCAGGCCCAGCGTGGGAAGTGGTAGGAACGGCCTGGCTTTCACTCAGGGTGCAGTGGGAAGGTCTGAGAAGGGAGGCGCGTATCAGGGCCAGGCTCACACGGTCAGACCTCCTCCTCGCTGTGTGGGGTGGTGTTAGAGAGGCACAGGGTGCAGGTCGGAGTGAGGACAGTAACCAGAGCAGGGCCGGGGGTCAGGAGAAGCAGGTGGACTGTGCGTTTCTGGAGAAGGTAGCATCGCCGACAGGCTCCTAGGGCAAGAGGGAGAGCAAAGGACATGCCCAGGTCTTGGCTCCAAGTCCCCCAGCACCATGGGCCCACGAGAGGAGCCCCTGGGAAGCTGGGAAGAACAGGTGTGTGGTGGGTTTCTGAGCCAGCTGGGTTCCAGGCACCTGTTTGACCACCTTGGGTATCACCAGAGACATGCGAGTCAGAGCTCACAGGAAGTCGGGGCTGAGGGATGAATGTGGAGCCGACAGTATGGAGGGGACATGTGGAGCCCCAGCGGCTCCCGCACGCCCTCCCAGAACCAGTCACCCACAGGACAGCACGCTTTCAGAAGGCTAGGACCAAGAAAGCCTGGTGTCCTCACGCCAGCCCTCGCAGATAAGCCTCCTTGATCTTGACCATGGAGACATAATCATCAGGCTTTAAAATCATGGTCAGGAAATTTCTAGCAAGTATGTGAAGTCACAGAATTTATTATTCAAAAGATCCCTGTGTCGTGGCTCACCCAGCCACCTGGGGACAGGCTTCCTGAGAGCCGCCGCTTTCAGGCCTTGGCGCGGCCCCACAGGAGGAGGGCAGAGGGGACCCTCCCAGGCAAGGAGGGCGAGACCAGCAGGAGACCTGGGCTGTCCCCACTCCTGTGGCCACCGCGGCCGCTGGAGGCAAAATCAGGAAAATCAGAGAGGAATTGTTTGGGTCGAGGCAGCGCCTAGGCAGGGTGTCTGGCTGGCCGTGGGGACTCTGGGGGCCCAGAGGCCAGCTGGAGCAGGTGCGCACAGCCACCCACCCCCAGCCCTGAGCCTCGCTGGGTGGTGTTTGGGAAATATTTCCAGGCGCTTCTGCAGTATCCTGGGCACGCTCCGCCCTCCCCCGGGAGCTCCTGTCCGTGCAGCGAGGTGCCTGCTCCCAATCCAGCTAAATTGTTATTGACTTGTGTTCTCTGCGCTCCGCAAACATTTCACTCAGCCGTCGCCGGCGAGGCCAGGGTCCCTGCTAGGGCTAACGGGGAAGCCAGCTGTGCCGGGCCATCTCTTCTGCTCCTCCTCATCGATCACAGAATTAAACTGACAGGAGGACTGCGGGCGGCCGGGAGGGGCAGGGGACCAGCCGGGATTGGACGGGGGTTTGGGAGCCTGGGGACCAGAACGCTGGAAACGGGGTGGGAAGGAGGTTTGGCCACTGGGGGGTGGGGGACAGGGATCTGGACTGCAAGCTGGCCAGGCCAAGAGGGACAAAACCACGGAAAACAGGTTTTATGACTACGTAGTGATCTTCCGGGTCAGGAGCTGCCGGATGGTCCCAGCCGAGGGCCCCCACAAATCTGAATCTCACCTACAGGTAGAAAAGCCAGAAAGACTTTGAATTAATGACCAGTATTTTACTCTTGAGAGATTTGGCCTGAAAACCAAGATTCTGGCCTGTATTGGAAAATTGAGTCTGGCCACCTGGTCCCCCATAGGGCACTCGGCCTGCAGAGGGGCCCCCCATTGGTGGAAAGTGTGAGCCTCCCCTTGGCCTCAGTCCTCAGTACTCCCTGTAGCTGCCCCGGGCTGTCTGACTCCACCGCCCCACCACCTGGCCCCCAGGGAGATCTGCCATCTCCTGCTCCCACCCAGGGCCTGCAGGGGCAGCGGACGTTGACCCAGGCTGATGAGCCCTGAGCCCTGAAGGACCCCAAGGCCTGAGCAGGTGGCGGGTGCCCTCCAGCCTCTCCTGGCCCACCTTCCTTGCCCCCTGCACAAGCGCCCGTCATGGGGAAGCTCCCAGCCCTGTCGCTGTTGCGAATGCCCAGGGGACCAAGCCCAAAGGCCCCAGGCTTGGCCCGCGCCCCCTGCCCTGCCTCGGGATAAGCTCTTGGTGATCCAGGCTGGGCGCCTCCACCCACCTTTGAGCACCGGTCTCTTGGTGGCCAGTCCAGCGTCCCAAACCCCTGCTTCCCAGGATGTCCCAAGCAAGCTCACCAGGCCATGCTGGGCCGAGGAGCCAGAGCCCCTCACACCCAGGTAGCAATGGCCGTGCTTGTGGCCTCGTGACCCCCGTTGCCCACCCCCAGGATCAGGACGCAGGCAGCCTGGCTCCCCACTGACTCCACCCCGTGGGGGTGCAGACTGCCACAGGGCACATCCTTGGGCTTGGTGGGGGAGAAGGGCCTGCAGTCACATGACTTCCCCAGAGCCTAGAGCACTGCCTCCTTATCTGAAAAGTGGTCACCAGCTCATGGGATTTCTACGGGAAAGTCACACAGAGCCCACGGGTACCTGGGGGGCTTGGTCCTGTTCTGCACCCTGCAGCCTTAATTTGGGCAGCTGGGTCCCTTGCTGGGTGCTGCATAACCCCTAAGTGGCCTTGCAGGTCCCCTTGGTTTTACATTTAACATTTCCTCAGCACCTCCTGGAGCTGCCCTGGCCTCAGGGCCTTTCCATCTGTCATTGAGTCCTTTGTAGGAAGTATTGTTACGGGTCCATCACTGCAGGAGTCATCCAGGTGGGGCAGAAAAGATAGGGGCCACTAGGGGGCAGAGCTCAGCTGCCCTGCGCCAGCTCCCTGAGCCCCTGCATGGCCCCAGGCCAGTGGTTCCACTTGCGCCCTGCCCTGTCCCCAGCATGAGCCTGGTACTCAGCAAGTGCTCAATAATAAATGCCTGCCGTGGCCAACTAAAGGGGACCCAGGAGGCCCGGGAGACCAGCAGAGCAGGTGCTGTCCCCTGAACAGACAGGAACTTGCTCCTGCTCCAGGCCCCTGGAGGACCCGCCTAGGGGGGCTGCAGGGTTGAACCAGAGAGGGACCCGGCAGAGCACCGCACTGAGGGGTGGCCAGCCAGCCTCCTGACCAGACAGCATGGGTGCCTGGCCCACAGCACCACACCTCGTGTCCCCATGCCCAGTTTCCCCAGGGGCGGGGATTGCAGGCTGCCGATGGCCCCCATAGTCAGGATGGCAGACCCCTGAGTCTGAGGACTGGGGTGCATGTCCCAGCCTGAAGTCTGGCCCCGCCACCTCCCCTACCTCACCCCTTGGGGCTGGTATAGCAGAGGAACCCTGCTGGACCAGGGCTGCGGGGGAAAGGAGCTGACGCACAGAGGGGGACTGTCCCTGCCACTACTGCCGGGCTCAGGCCGAGAGAACAGAAGACACTGGGGAGGCGAAGTCGGTGCCCACTGCTGCAGCTCTGGGACCCCTGGCCCGGCCTGGCCAGGAGAGCAGGCCCAGGCACCCTCAGCCCCCGGCAGCCACGAGCGTGGGCAGCAGCCGCAGCCTGTGTCATCACCTTCCATTTCCTGGTGGCCGTTACCTGCCCACGGATCCAATCTCAGAGGCCATTGTGCACCTCGGAGGCTGGCGATCAGCGGGGCCCTGGCCTTGAGCAGCGGCAGGTAGGGGGAGGAGGCCGCCAGCCCCGCATCCTGTCCCCTGTCCCTCTTGGCCAACAGTGACGGTGCAGCCGCTGAGCCCTCCTCCGCCTCCCCGTGGGCAGCTCAGCGTGTCCCCACCCTGAGCCCACTCGCTCACCCCAGGGAACTCGGGAGCCCACCCAGTGCCAGGCGCTGGCTGGGGACACAGAGGTGCACAGGACAAAGGAGGCTGTCGCATTGGTGGGCGGGCTGGGCAGGGTGGGCAGGGAGCTGGACGAGGGCTCCAGGTGGGCACCTGCCGCAGCCTGCACCAGCTCAGGCGATGCCCAGAGGACGTGGGGTCTCTTAGGTCACAGATGTCTGGGGGATATGTTCAGAGGGGTCCCAAGAGGTTGGGGTTCCCAGAGAGAAGGTGACAGGGGCTTAAGTGTGGAGAGGACAGGAAGGGCCATGTCCCCTTTAGTGACGGACAGTAAGACGGGGGAGGTGGCTCAGTCAGTCCCCCTGGGCCCCCAGAAGGGCACCGAGACGTTCCACCCTGGGCCAAGCACTGTGACACCACCCTTGGGGAGTCCCCAGGCCAGTATGGAAGGAGGCCAGGGCTCTGGGGGGACGAGGCACCTGCAGACTCAGGAGGAGGAGGAGGAGGAGGAGGAGGAGTGGGAGCACATGAGGTTCTTCAGGCTGCCTCTGTACAAAGAAAGCCTTAAATTGAGTGAGGCTGCCCACCAATGAGTGGTTAGACTAGCAGAAGGACTAACAGAGCAGGCAGCCCAGAGCCCAGCTTCCCTGCCCCGTTTCCTAACTGGAGGGCCAGGGAACCAGCACCCCTGCTCCGACTGCTGTGGTCTCCTGGCTCTTCTCTGGCCAGCACAAGAGTCGTGAGAAGCAGAGAGGACGTGACTTAAGTGTGACTCGAGGTCAGGTCCACGCTCTGCCACTTCCTAGTTGGACAGACTTAGATATCCCGTCTGGTTCACTCCCCCCTGCACACCTACTGTGGGACGTTGAGAGGAGCAGGGCCGTGGCACGCAGTAGGTGCTCCGTCAGGGGGAGCCTGCATCAAAGCCCAAGCCAGGTGTCCCCCTTCTCCAGAGCCGCTCCTCATCGTCACTCTGCACTGCCCTTGGGGTCCCTGGGTTCTACAGCTGTGCGCCCAGTGTTTATTGAGCTCCTACTGTGTGCCAGCCACTTCCTACGCCATTGGCGTCTGGCCTCCAGTCAGAGGAGTGGCTTCTGCTCGTCTCCTCAGCCCTGGCGCGTGCTTGGCTGGCCTGGGACCTGCTGGGAGAGGAGGAGGCCCACGGGGTGGGGAGTGGGGAGGCAGTGGAGGCTGAGGAGGCCGGGGCCGGAGACCGCCTGCCCTCCCTCTCCTCATGCTGCCTTCCCTCTCCCCTCCTTCCCTCCCCATGTCCCCTGCCTCACCTCCCCTGCTCCTCCCTGCACATGTCCCCTCTGTCTCTGTCCTCCTGGACCTGCGTCTCCCCGCCCCCGCATCCTCCTCTCGCGCCATCTGGGCTCCCACAGAGCCCCCGAAGAAGAAGCGGTCTGTGGTGTTGGACGGGATCCTGGAGCAGCTGGAGGACAGTGACCGTGACGGCGAGGAGCAGACACTTCAGCTGTGAGCTGGCACAGAGGTAGGTGGTCAGGGGCCGGGCTGGGACAGCGCCCCCACCCCTGTGTGCCTGACCTCACAGGTCCAGGGTGGAGGGGGATAAAGCCTCGGGCCAGGGCCTGATGCCCACACCTGGGCATCCTGGTGGCAGGTGCCTCGCGGGTGACACTGAGCCCACAGCTACACTGTGCCCCGGGAGCAGAGGCGGGAGCAGCCATGCAGGGGTCACAGCCACACGAAGCCAGGACCCTGCATCCCCAGCTCAGTTGGGAGGACCCCTCCTAGTTCCCTCGCCCCCCTGACCCCGATGCCACCTCGTTCCCTGGTGGCGGCCCATGAAAGGGTCAGCCACGGGCTGAACAGGTAGGAACCTCTGTCCTTCCTCCCGCCAGGGCTGCCGTGCGAGAATCCCCACCTGTGTCTGTCCAGTGAGCAGTTAGAACAGCAGAAGGACTAACAGAGCAGGCAGCCCAGAGATGTCTGCATCAGTGGAACCAGGAACCCCGGATTCTTCCAGGGACACCCCCGAGCAGCTACTGAGGCCTCGGGCTCCAAGCCGAGCCTGTCACCAGCGCCAGCAGCGTCCACTCCCAAGCAGGGCTGTGGACACATCACAAACCTCACTCCTGGCCAGAAGCGACCCCAGGCTTTGCCCAGAGCCGGGCACCTGCGTGTAGCACGTCCACTCCTGCTGCAGCCTGAGGGGAGCTCCCGTGGCAGGGCAGCACCAGCATCGGCCAGCGGGCGAGACGCTGCCCAGCAGAGACGGCCAGGCCGCAGCCTGCACTTGAGTCCCAGCAGCCACCCCGGCCCGCAACCACAGGCCTGGGCACCCTGGAGCCGCGGTCGTTGCTCTGTCATTGGGGTTGACCACGGTCAGCAAGCCGAGGAGTAAAACTCAGGATGTTCCCGCGCTTCTGTCTGCTTCCTAATCAGGGCCGCTGGGTGGGGACCCCGAAGAGCCCAGGGCCCCTCGGGCTCTCATCAGCTCGCTCTGTACATTTGTGGGACGAGGTTCTGGTCCTTGTCCAGTGTCCAAGGTGGCTTGGGTCCCGAGGAGGGCTCCCCAGCGCTCAGTTCCCTTCCCGGGCGCGGGTTCCGCTCAGCGGCCTGGCTCGGCCCTGGGCGCAGTGGGGACACTGAACCCAGGGCGGCTCCCGCCCAGCGCCACCGCCCCCTTGTCCCCTCCTTGCTGCTGAAGGAGGACAATGGGGACGGCAGCCCCGTCGTGGAGGCCAGAGAGTGCCGGGCGCCTGTCCGGGGTCCCAGTGCGAGTGAGGGCTGCTGGCAGGACGCAGGCCAGGCCTGAGTGACCCCGAGACAGGAGCAGAGCAAGGAGAGCGCGGCCCTGACCAGGCCTGCTCAGAGCCGCGGGGGCAGTGGCCATGCTGGACACTGTCCTCGGCCTGGCCCAGGCCCTGCCTCCTGGCCTCACTCTACCAGTGGGGACAGACCCCTAGACGAACAGGAATTCACTCCCCACGGAGGCCCCAGGCTGCCGGGCCCCCGGCCTCCATAACCCACGCAGACCCCCCTCTGCAGGTGGCCAGCGTGACCTGCTGGCACCGCGCTCTGGACCAGGCCGACCCAGTCTGACCCCCTGGCCTCCCCCCACGAGTGAGGTCACCTCCTGCCCAGGCCCAGGCCCTGCCTGGGGTCCACGTCCACCCTTGTCGTTCCTGTTCCTCCTGAGCCCATCTAGATGCCACCAGCATGGATAGCCCCTCCAGCCCAGCCTCAGCCCCACCTCTGTCCCCGGGCCTGGTTCCCAAGCCACAGCTCTCTGTGCCGGGGACAACCTGGAGTCTGAACAGGGGCCTGAGTGACCCTGGGCCGGGGCCCTGAAACACGTGCTCCGGCAATTAGGAAGTCCCGGATGGTTGTGGCTTTTGTCCCCATTGCCGGGGTCACTGGAATGGAGTTGCAGAGCCAGTGTGAGGGGGAGCCGGGCTAGGGTCCCCCTGCCAAGAGGAGGGGCTTCCTCACCCTCCCGAGGGGCCAAGGCCAGGAGCCTGCCTCGTCCAGTGGGTGCTGTTGGGTGGGGAGGCTCGGCCATGTGGCAGGAGGGGTCAGTACTGCTGTCCCTGGGAGCAGGTCAGGGAGTCTCCCGGGGGGGCTGGGTGGAGTTGGAGGGACAGCGGGACAGTGGAGGGAGAAAGCCCTGAGGGGAAGCCCAGGGTGGCAGCTGGGCAGGGCTGGGCTGGAGCAGCTGCGGGGCCTCCTGAGCCCGAGGTGACCAGTGCAGGACAGGAGAGGGTCGTTCCTCTGTCAGGGGCCTGTGACCTCCAGAGGTCAGCGGGGAGCAGGGAAGACAACCCTACTGTCCCTGGGAGGTGAGGGCCAGCGGCCTTGGAGAGCAGGAGAGAGCTGGGGGCTGGGACAGCTGTGTCCCTCCCTCCCCCATGTGAGCCTCAGGTCTGCCTAGTGGGGGACTGGCCACCCTGTCCTGAGGGGCAGCCCTGGTCTCTAGTGCCACCACCGCTCCCAGCTCCTTCCTGCCGTTGTCACCCGTGAGCCACTGGCTCTCAGCCCATCCACCTGCTTCACAGCAACTCCCCTGCTGTGGCGGTGACGGAGGTGGAGCTGGAGGGTAGCCAGTGGTCGCCTGGGCACATGGGCACCAGAGAGGGCCCCAGAGGGGAGTGGGTGGAAGTCTGGGGGGCAGGGCCAGGCAGTGGCGTGGCCCCGGCTTTCCGTTCAAGACCCTCAGCCCATCTGCGGGAGGGAGACAGGTGGTTGGGCAGGGGCTTGGGGAAGGGCAGGGTTGGGACAGTGGCAGCCCCGCTGGGGGGGGGGCAGAGCAGACGAGCCCTGATTTAGAAGACGCCAGTCACAATGTCCAGGGGCTCAAATAGGCATAAAAATCCCAGGCCGAGGGCACTTGCTGAAGGATAAAGAGGAGACCGTGGTGGACGACAGGCCTCCGCCTCGGGAGTGCTACCTGGTGGGGGGTGGTTATTAGTTACTGTTGTTGATGTTAAGTTACTGTTGAGCAAGTCCCGGAGACTGTCCCTTCTGGCTTGTGAGTGACGGGCTGTGCTGGTGCAGAGGCGGGGCAGGGCCATGTGCCCTGGAGGAGCCAGTGTCTGCAGTGCCTGGAGGAGGTGCCCCAGCCCAGGGCAGCAGACCGGCTCTCGGCACCCGCTTGCTTCTTGCACAGAGCCCGCGCCCAGCCCCAGGTGGGCCCAGCCCCTGGGAGCACGTGCCCTCGCGTTGCTGTGTCCCAGTCTTAAGGCCGAGTGTCACAGGGGACGGGGGCAGCGTTGTCTTGGTTGCCTAACTCGGGCACACTGGGTCAGCGCTGTGGGCCAGCCTGCAGGGGCACATGTAAAGGGGGCGGGCAGGCACTGGGCGAGCCCAGGAGGGAGTCTCCTGCCTTCTCCCCAGCACGCGCACAGGCCGGCCGTGCCCCGGGCAGAGGCTGGAGTGTCCCGGGTCATGAGCACAGGCCCACGGGATGCAGCAGGGGGAGGACAGCCCCTGCCACCTGCAGGTGGGAGGCTGGCACAGGTGGGCGGAGCCATCCTCACCCTGGGCTCCATCATTCCACCCTGGCCAGATGGCCCCTGTGTGCAGGGACTTGAGGTCACCCCGCCCGCCTCGGTGAGTCTCCTTGCTGGGTGGACACAGGTCCGTCTTGGCTGCAGGTCCCCCGTGAGTCAGGCGGGAGCTGTCCTCAGCGGCCCTCGCTCGGCATCGTCAGGACAGGACGGGATTACCCTGGCTGGGTGCTCAGGCCTTGGTGAGCAGAGCTGAGCTCGGTTTCAGCACCTAATTCAATTTGTTCTGCCGAGAGTGGAATAGGAAATGGCTGCCAGTCAGACCTTCAAAGCAGGGAAGGGAGAGGGCGCCTGCTGAAATTTAAATTTTAATGAAAACGACTTTAACCCTTTGGTGCACCTTGTGGGAAAGGCGCGCCCCTCCTTCCCGTGGGCACACCGTCCGTCTGCCTGCTGGGATCCACTTAGAGCATCTGGTCTTCTTCCAGCCACATCTGTGATGAAAGCCTGGCACAGCCTTGCTTCCTGGTGGCCTGTCCCCCACACTGCCCTGGATGTTGAAGTGGGCACCTCGCTGCAGGTGATCTTCCCAAGCTCCGCATGGGACATGCCTGGCCCCTTAGATGCTCTGGTGACACCTGGTACCCCCTTGCTACCTCCAGACCCTGTTATATCATCTGTCCCATCCCCCTGATGTAGATAGGCCCTGGCATGGCAGTGCCCGTGACTGTGCAGGTCCCGTCTCCCAGGAGCTATGGGGGGCAAGTCGGTTGGACAGGTAGAGCAGCTTTGAGAAGTGGTGGTCTTCCCACCCAACGCCGCAGAGGGCAGACCTGGTGCTGGCAGGGGGTCCCCTGTGCAGGCTCCGCCATGGGTGCTGGGCCTGTGGCCTGTGGCAGGAGATAGCTTCCACCTGCAGGAACCAGGAGAGAACCAGACGGCAGTGGCTCTCAGGGAGGTGCCTGTGGGCGAGGGGTGGCCAGACCTGGACAGACGAAGAGGAGCCCAGGGCATGGGCTGAAGGCTGGGCCAGGGGAGCAGGGCTGAGGCCAGCACCCCAGCACCCCCACCCGGAGAGCACTGGGGAGCAGCAGCAGGCAACGCTGGAGGCTAGCTCTGGGCTTTAACTACTGTGGGTTGGAGGCGACCAGGGCCATCAGGTGGGGAGCCTTGGGCAGGTGAGAGTCAGGTGCGGAGCCTGGAAGGAGGGCACAAGGGGAAGCTGTCCTTCTGCTTTAAGAACTAAGAGGCGGAGTGGGGGACTCGGCCCTCATAGGCCACCCAGCTGGGTTTCAAGGTCTTCGTGGTTTATTTGCTAGTATTCTTTGCCGCGCTGGGGATGGAGGCCGGGGCCTCGTGCATGCCAAGCACCCTGCCTCTGAGCTGCAACCCAGCCTCCAAGCCCTCAGAGGGACTGCGAGCCCTTTTTCAAAACAGAAAGTCATTTAGGAGCTCGTTTTCCCGATTGCCCCAAGTGCAGATCCATGGCTGGCTCATCCGGTCCGTGGCCGTCCCCCGCTCCAGGGAGTGCCAGTGAACTGGGGGGAGCATTAGGAATGTGACTATAACCAGACAAAGGAACAAAGGAGCCTGACTGAAGTCCTGGGGCGGCAAGCACGACCCACGGGCCAGATGAGCTGCAGTCTTTGTGACTTGTTAGGATGCAACCGTGCTTATTGGTGACGCACTGTCTGAGGCAGGTTGTCGAATGGTCCAGCAGAGGCAGGACGCACAGCCTGCCAGACATCCCCCCTGGCCCTTTGCATCCAAGGTTGGGCCCTGTCTCAGCCTCGAGTTTGACAGATTGGAAAGCCAGACCCCGAAATGTCAGGTGCCTGTCCGAGGTCGCTGCAGCTGAGCTTCTCTCTGGCTCTTGCCTCCTGGCTGCCAGCTCACCTCGGGCCTCCTCGCTGCTCACCCACCGGCAGGGCCACTCTGCAGCCTGACCTTGACCTGCTCCACGACCTCTCTGTGCCTAGGTCCTCTCTGTGGTGCACTGGGGTTGGGGCATTGAGTGGGTGGGACACCGAGGACCTGGGGAGGTGCCTGCCACGTGGGAGCTCTACTGGGCTGCTGTCACCCACACCCCCGCACCAAGGCTGTGCCCCACCTCCAGGCAGACTCTCCTCATCTCCCCCCACCTCCCCTGGCCCCTGGGAGGCTGGAACATTCCAGCTCAAGACCCAGGCCAGGGTCTTCTGAATCTGCAGCCCAACAGAAGAGACTGCGTCTCATTATGGCCTCGCCAGCAGCCAGGGCCTCGTCCCTCCCGCTCCCTTAATGAACCCCACTTCCCCTAATTGCAGCTTTCATGAAAACGATCCGCTGGGGCCACTGCGCCCCAGCCCTGGGCTCGCGCCAGCAGCAGATCTTCCTCCTCCTGCGCAGATTTTCAGG